ACGAAAAAATTAGGATAATAAATTTATAAAATTAGTATTATATTATAAACTAACCCCAGGTTTAGGTTTTCACGCGAATTTTCATAAAGTTGGCGATCTTTAATAGTCACATCTAATCGATTATGCGAAAAAGATTGATTGACGGGATAAATTCCACGAGATAAATCGTGTCACGATTTGAGAACATTCACGTCTGTTCGAGACAAAGCGCCCTCAGCCATCGTCAATAAGTACAACCCTGGAAGCTCTATATTACCAAAGTAACGCATTTTTTTTTATCTGTCTGAAGAACCGACAATCTTCCTATTGGCTATTCCGACCGCCATTTCGATTTAGTTGTCTGTAGTCCAATAAGCGTTTAGTATTAATGGTATAGGGTATGGTTAGTAGGTTAAAATGCGCTACTTTGATATATAGAGCTTTATACGGCCCTGCATTGCACTGCCATCTTAACAGCCAAGTCGATCGAAAGAGAACTCGACGAGTTCGGTTTGCTTGCAGTAACATCAGCATTCGCCATTACGCTAGGGAGTTAGACAAGTTAGAACGGAATACTAGGCGAGAAAGTCTAGAGATCGTCGTCGTATTCATCGTAGTTCCCTACTCACGCGAGATAGCCACAGTAACGGAGTGAGAAGAAAAAACTATTTAGTGATTTCACGCTGCTATTTTGGATACAAATATTCGATTGTGCACGACTGGTACGCGTAACTGGAGAATTCGGTACGAATGGACGCTATTAGTATCTCGCCAAAAACGGCAAAAACTGTTACGCTCGTCGCTGAGCGAGGCGTAATATGTAGAAATGTTCTGACTTCCACGTCAACTCAACCTCTACGTCTTACGCCGACGGGGAAGATCAGCCATGCGAAGACGCGGGTCTACACGCAGCGTTACAGGAGGGAGTGGGAACAGATGTCGGACTTCAAAGGTGCGTTTTCTCTCTCTTTCTCTCTATTTCTTTTTCCTTACGTTGCTCACGGGAAACCCTATGCATAGGATCATCTGATGTTGCATTTGGGTTGATCGCTCTTCATTTAACTTCCTATACCCTAGCTATGTACATATTACCGTGGATTAATTCCTAGTTTTATCTATCATCCTGCTGCAACGTAAAGGGAAAAGAAAGTTTTTAAGGTTACCGCACACATCTTCCGTAATAGTAACCGTAAAGATGCCTTTTCATGCTGACACTCGATGTTCATTTTTAGAAAAAGAACAGACTGTGAGTTTACTTGAGTTGAGTAAATCGAATATGCTATTATTACGGGCACTGACAAGATACTATTAAAAACCGTCAGCCCTGGACAAATTTTCGTAATTATCAATAGGGCCCCGGGGAGCCTGGGGATATATAATTGAAGAACGGTGACGTTACCAACAATTACTAAAAATTTATGATTATTATAAATATTTCGATAATACATTATTAAATTCGTGATTTTTTTTATTATATAAATAAGTATGCATACCTTTAATGCTAAAATATCTTGTATACTGCTGAAAAATTATAATTTTTTCTTTGCAGTTAACATCTCTGTTGATAATCAAACTCAGATGATAACATTAAAATCACAGATTTTAAATAAAAATCATGTATTATTAAATTTTAAACATACACACACACACACACACACACACACACACATACATATACATATGCTACGAAAGTAATAAATCATGAAATTACTACTGTATTATTAATTTCTTACTCTCACTTAAATTTTAACAGGCATGCAACTTCCAGAAGCGCCGATCGTCCTTAATAGTATCTCGTCAGTGGTTGGGCGGTGTTGCTTAATCGAATTTTGAAGATTTTTATAGAGATAATCGAGTTTTTTTCCTGATGGTTTTTATCTCGATTAATAAGCTATTTGATTATTTTAGACTCGAATGAAGCATTTGATGTTTCTAGATTCGATTAATTAATAAGTTGTTTGTTCTGATTGATTGAATTCTGAACTTCCTCAACAATCCTCAATCTTCAGTAAAGTAATAGTGTAATGGATTAAACAAATACTTTGATATAGAGTTTATTTAAGTAAAATATATTAATGTTTTTAAAATATTTTTTTAAACAGGATGGTTGACTTCAGTTAGCAATCAACCGACCCGTGCTTACTGCTTATATTGCAGAAAGAATTTACATGCACATCGTTTGTCGCTATTGAAACATACATGCACAATGAAGCATCAGCGCTCAGCCTTGACATATCAATTGGAACAGAAACAGATACAAAAGTCAGATGCTGATGCACCTGAAATAGGACTTATGGAAGAAGTTGAGGTCAGTATAAAAATTTTGTTAATTTAAAAATTGTATATCTATTATTGAAAAAAAAAAGAAATACAGGTTCTGTACAGAATGTCCCAGAATAACTGCAAAATATTTCGTGCTCTGATAGAGCAGACTAAACTGAGTCAAAAAGTATTCTTACCATTGCAATTTTCGCAATACTTGGGAAGATATTAATTTCTAAGTATCTGAACAAGCACGTGTCCACGTGGACTATCGCTAACTATGGCTGTGCTCAATTGTTGTGGAGCAGATTTGTGAGTAGTCACTACTATTGGCTGATGTAAAATATTCTAAAAGAATACACCAATAGCAGCGAGCGCTCCCGGATCCGCTTTGCAACAACTGAGTCTGCTGAACATGATATCTATATGGCCCGTATTCAGAACGCGCTTACAACGATGTTAGCGCGCTAATACTGTACTTTACATCACGCATATTATAGCATTTCAGAGATAAAAGTTCGAATTTTGAATACGGGCTTATATTTATCGATCGCGTTCGTTTGTTCGATCGTTCGTTCGATCGCTTGCATCTTTCGCGAATATTCTCTGCATACAAAATATATTTGTATCTGATCTATGTCCTTAATTTTGAATAATCAGTTAAATTTTAGACAGATTATTGTAACTGTTTCATGTCGGATTATTGCATATAATTACTGATTATATATTAAATTATAATTTTCTACACACCGATACAAAATGCTTCAAATGTAAACTCTGCTTTAAATGTAAATGAAGAAATGTAAACTGACGATCGACATAAGCAATTAATATGTTTAAAAAGCCTATACCCATTGTCTATATTTCGAACGGCAGGCCGTGTAGCAGACAAAATCTTCGTATTTGTATATACTTATGTATCTGTATACTGCGTATACATTATTGGCTTTCCGAAGTGGCAATAATATCCCCATAATATATTATGATTTTATCTTGATTTTCTTTGATTTATGAGCTTGAACATCTGATTCGTTCCAATCGACTAGGCGTTAGTCATGTGTTTTTTGTCAAATTTTATTTCTCTAATATTTTTTTAATGTACGTTTATTTTAGCAATTTCATATTTTATAATTCCTCGATCAATTTGGCAATTCAATGAAGAAGCGCTTAGACATAATACTCAGCATACGAATTTATTTTACACGAATTTATGCCTATTCTACAATAGAGTCGCAAGTCGTAAGTTGTAAGAAATTGGCCAATCACAGTTAAGTGTGAGAAGAATAATCGACTATGATTGGTTAATTTCTTACGGCTTACCGCTTATGACTATTGTAGAACAGACCTTAAATATTGACCTTAAATGTATTTTGTTTGAAGACTATTTAGTTTTAAATTTTATTATTATATTTCATTTCTCCTTTGTACTGAGAAGGACTCTAAAATGTAGATCGAAATGTCTATAAGTGCTATAGACACTATGCTAATTTTAATAACATGCGTTCATTTTATGTTTGGCTCTGATTAGAATTATTGATTACTAATTGACATATGTATATGTGTAAATTTTTCGTTTAGACAATAGATGATTCTTCTCAAGCGGAACTAGGTGAGGATCATGATGACGATATCGAATATGTTGTTGAAAGATTAGATACAGACGAGGATGACTCAATGGAGTTGGAAGATGTAAAGGAAAAAATTGAAGAAGTCAATATTGAACAGGAAGAAGAAAAAGAGATGGATAGTGATCAATCCAATGAGGATTCTATATCTGTAATAAAGAAGATCAAATTATCGGAGGTAATTTATACAACAGATTATGTATGCGTGCAATAAAAAATAATTTCATAGTTTGACATCTGTTGATTTTTCGAATGTTATAATTTTTCATGTAGGAAAAATGTCAAGATCCTTTGACAAAGGCGATGGCTCATGTTCATAACGAATATCTTGAGGAAGAAGTAGTCGAGGATCAAGAGAACGTGCAGATGGAGATGGTGATAGAATCGTCTAACAACGATATATCTGTTTTACCTGAACTAGAGGATGATGTTCAGGAAACATCAAAACCACGCGAAAATAAAAAAACGGTAATCAAAGCCACCAAGAATGGAAAAGTTCTTGTGAGTAATTTACTTTTCTGAATGATAGAAGAATATAAATATTAAAAAACTACTATTAAACATCAATCTTAAATTTAGTTAAATTATATGTAAATCTCATATTGAAAATCATTAGCTGAGTATTTATATGAGTATTTTTATATATGAAATCATAATTAGCTATATATAGAAAAAATATTGTTTTATAGTTGGAGAATAGTAAAGATAATTTCGTAACTACATCATTACCGATATTAAGTACAACTTATCAGACAAATATCGCGACAAGCATAATGCCGACTAAGAGTACGATGAGTTATGTGCCGATTGCGCCAAATCCGAATACTCAAAAGACCATCACTCTAATGTGTGGTAATAAAACTTTTACATTAACTGGCGGTACATTCCAACCGGGCACACAGTATGTGCTGACCAAGCTGAAGGGTAACCCAACAGCATTGATGCTGACTGATCAAAACAAAATCATAAGTGAAACAGAGAACAAAATTCAAGTAAAGCCAGACTCCAACATCGATCAATCATTGATTATTCCTAGTACCAGCCAGCAGCCTATTAATCAGCAATCGGCTGATACTAAATTGTCGACTAAGAAGGTAAAAAAATGTGTAATTAAGGTTAAGTAAAAAGGAGCATACAGCCACGCTAGAGATGTCAAAAAGTTATAATTCAATAATAAACATTTTACATAGTAGACGTTTCGGTCACGATTTGACCATCCTCAGTACAAAAATAAAAATAAAATAATAACCTTAAACTATTTAAATCTAATTATTAAAATCTTATTCTTAATGTTAGTAAGTGTAATATCTCGCTTCTTCTTATGCGTTATTCGCATTGATGTCCGCATTTAACAATATAATGTTTTTTGATACAATCAATTAACATAAATTTGAACGAATTAACGTTAGAATGTACAGAATTCCTCTTTTTTCTATCGTGTGGAATCATTTCCGATTGTAACTATTATCAGGCTGTCTCAAGTTCCAAAAAGGACGACGAACCGCCGCAGAGAGACACG